TTTGCCACGGATTTTAGCCACGAATTTTTAAAAAAATGCCCACAAACATGTCTAAGTAATATTTTCATGAAATTCGTGGCTAAAATCCGTGGCAAATTTGCCACGGATTTTAGCCACGAATTTTTAAAAAAATGCCCACAAGCATGTCTAAGTAATATTTTCATGAAATTCGTGGCTAAAATCCGTGGCAAATTTGCCACGGATTTTAGCCACGAATTTAAAAAAAAAATGCCCACAAACATGTCTAAGTAATATTTTCATGAAATTCGTGGCTAAAATCCGTGGCAAATTTGCCACGGATTTTAGCCACGAATTTTTAAAAAAATGCCCACAAACATGTCTAAGTAATATTTTCATGAAATTCGTGGCTAAAATCCGTGGCAAATTTGCCACGGATTTTAGCCACGAATTTTTAAAAAATGCCCACAAACATGTCTAAGTAATATTTTCATGAAATTCGTGGCTAAAATCCGTGGCAAATTTGCCACGGATTTTAGCCACGAATTTTTAAAAAATGCCCACAAGCATGTCTAAGTAATATTTTCATGAAATTCGTGGCTAAAATCCGTGGCAAATTTGCCACGGATTTTAGCCACGAATTTTAAAAAATGCCCACAAGCATGTCTAAGTAATATTTTCATGAAATTCGTGGCTAAAATCCGTGGCAAATTTGCCACGGATTTTAGCCACGAATTTTAAAAAAAATGCCCACAAGCATGTCTAAGTAATATTTTCATGAAATTCGTGGCTAAAATCCGTGGCAATTTGCCACGGATTTTAGCCACCAATTTTAAAAAAAAATGCCCACAAACATGTCTAAGTAATATTTTCATGAAATTCGTGGCTAAAATCCGTGGCAAATTTGCCACGAATTTTTAAAAAAAATGCCCACAAGCATGTCTAAGTAATATTTTCATGAAATTCGTGGCTAAAATCCGTGGCAAATTTGCCACGGATTTTGCTACGAATTTCATAAAAAATGAACATAGGCATGTGTATGGGCATTTTTTTTAATAATTCGTGGCAAATTTTTCACGGATTTTAGCCACGAATTTCATGAAAATGCCGACAAACATGTCTAAATAATTTTTTCATGAAATTCGTGGCTAAAATCCGTGGCAAATTTGCCACGAATTTTAAAAAAAATGCCCATACACATGCCTATGTTCATTTTTTATGAAATTCGTGGCAAAATCCGTGGCAAATTTGCTACGGATTTTAGCCACGAATTTCATAAAATGCCCACAATTCATTTTTTATGAAATTCGTGGCTAAAATCCGTGGCAAATTTGCCAAGGATTTTAGCCACGAATTTCATGAAAATGCCCACAAACATGTCTAAGTAATTTTTTCATGAAATTCGTGGCTAAAATCCGTGGCAAATTTGCCACGGATTTTAGCCACGAATTTTAAAAAAATGCCCACAAACATGTCTAAGTAATATTTTCATGAAATTCGTGGCTAAAATCCGTGGCAAATTTGCCACGAATTTTTAAAAAAATGCCAACAAACATGTCTAAGTAATATTTTCATGAAATTCGTGGCTAAAACCCGTGGCAAATTTGCCACGGATTTTAGCCACGAATTTTTAAAAAATGCCCACAAACATGTCTAAGTAATATTTTCATGAAATTCGTGGCTAAAATCCGTGGCAAAATTTGCCACGGATTTTAGCCACGAATTTTTAAAAAATGCCCACAAACATGTCTAAGTAATATTTTCATGAAATTCGTGGCTAAAATCCGTAGCAAATTTGCCACGGATTTTAGCCACGAATTTTTAAAAAAAATGCCCACAAGCATGTCTAAGTAATATTTTCATGAAATTCGTGGCTAAAATCCGTGGCAATTTGCAACGGATTTTAGCCACGAATTTTAAAAAAAAATGCCCACAAACATGTCTAAGTAATATTTTCATGAAATTCGTGGCTAAAATCCGTGGCAAATTTGCCACGAATTTTTAAAAAAAATGCCCACAAGCATGTCTAAGTAATATTTTCATGAAATTCGTGGCTAAAATCCGTGGCAAATTTGCCACGGATTTTAGCCACGAATTTTTAAAAAAAATGCCCACAAGCATGTCTAAGTAATATTTTCATGAAATTCGTGGCTAAAATCCGTGGCAAATTTGCCACGGATTTTAGCCACGAATTTTTAAAAAAATGCCCACAAACATGTCTAAGTAATATTTTCATGAAATTCGTGCCTAAAATCCGTGGCAAATTTGCCACGGATTTTAGCCACGAATTTTAAAAAAATGCCCACAAACATGTCTAAGTAATATTTTCATGAAATTCGTGGCTAAAATCCGTGGCAAATTTGCCACGGATTTTAGCCACGAATTTAAAAAAATGCCCACAAACATGTCTAAGTAATATTTTCATGAAATTCGTGGCTAAAATCCGTGGCAAATTTGCCACGGATTTTAGCCACGAATTTTAAAAAAATGCCCACAAGCATGTCTAAGTAATATTTTCATGAAATTCGTGGCTAAAATCCGTGGCAAATTTGCCACGGATTTTAGCCACGAATTTTTAAAAAATGCCCACAAGCATGTCTAAGTAATATTTTCATGAAATTCGTGGCTAAAATCCGTGGCAAATTTGCCACGGATTTTAGCCACGAATTTTAAAAAAAATGCCCACAAGCATGTCTAAGTAATATTTTCATGAAATTCGTGGCTAAAATCCGTGGCAATTTGCCACGGATTTTAGCCACGAATTTTAAAAAAAATGCCCACAAACATGTCTAAGTAATATTTTCATGAAATTCGTGGCTAAAATCCGTGGCAAATTTGCCACGAATTTTTAAAAAAATGCCCACAAGCATGTCTAAGTAATATTTTCATGAAATTCGTGGCTAAAATCCGTGGCAAATTTGCCACGGATTTTGCTACGAATTTCATAAAAAATGAACATAGGCATGTGTATGGGCATTTTTTAAAATTCGTGGCAAATTTACGATTTTAGCCCACGAATTTCATGAAAATGCCGACAAACATGTCTAAATAATTTTTTCATGAAATTCGTGGCTAAAATCCGTGACAAATTTGCCACGAATTTAAAAAAAAAATGCCCATACACATGCCTATGTTCATTTTTTATGAAATTCGTGGCAAAATCCGTGGCAAATTTGCCACGGATTTTAGCCACGAATTTCATAAAATGCCCACAATTCATTTTTTATGAAATTCGTGGCTAAAATCCGTGGCAAATTTGCCAAGGATTTTAGCCACGAATTTCATGAAAATGCCCACAAACATGTCTAAGTAATTTTTTCATGAAATTCGTGGCTAAAATCCGTGGCAAATTTGCCACGGATTTTAGCCACGAATTTTTAAAAAAATGCCCACAAACATGTCTAAGTAATATTTTAATGAAATTCGTGGCTAAAATCCGTGGCAAATTTGCCACGAATTTTTAAAAAATACCAACAAACATGTCTAAGTAATATTTTCATGAAATTCGTGGCTAAAACCCGTGGCAAATTTGCCACGGATTTTAGCCACGAATTTTTAAAAAAAATGCCCACAAACATGTCTAAGTAATATTTTCATGAAATTCGTGGCTAAAATCCGTGGCAAAATTTGCCACGGATTTTAGCCACGAATTTTTAAAAAAATGCCCACAAACATGTCTAAGTAATATTTTCATGAAATTCGTGGCTAAAATCCGTAGCAAATTTGCCACGGATTTTAGCCACGAATTTTTAAAAAAAATGCCCACAAGCATGTCTAAGTAATATTTTCATGAAATTCGTGGCTAAAATCCGTGGCAATTTGCCACGGATTTTAGCCGCGAATTTTAAAAAAAAATGCCCACAAACATGTCTAAGTAATATTTTCATGAAATTCGTGGCTAAAATCCGTGGCAAATTTGCCACGAATTTTTAAAAAAAATGCCCACAAGCATGTCTAAGTAATATTTTCATGAAATTCGTGGCTAAAATCCGTGGCAAATTTGCCACGGATTTTGCTACGAATTTCATAAAAAATGAACATAGGCATGTGTATGGGCATTTTTTTAAATTCGTGGCAAATTTCATTAGCACTAATTTCATGAAAATGCCGACAAACATGTCTAAATAATTTTTCATGAAATTCGTGGCTAAAATTCGTGGCAAATTTGCCACGAATTTAAAAAAAAATGCCCATACACATGCCTATGTTCATTTTTTTATGAAATTCGTGGCAAAATCCGTGGCATTTGCCACGGATTTTAGCCACGAATTTCATAAAATGCCCACAATTCATTTTTTATGAAATTCGTGGCTAAAATCCGTGGCAAATTTGCCAAGGATTTTAGCCACGAATTTCATGAAAATGCCCACAAACATGTCTAAGTAATTTTTTCATGAAATTCGTGGCTAAAATCCGTGGCAAATTTGCCACGGATTTTAGCCACGAATTTTTAAAAAAAATGCCCACAAACATGTCTAAGTAATATTTTCATGAAATTCGTGGCTAAAATCCGTGGCAAATTTGCCACGAATTTTTAAAAAAAATGCCAACAAACATGTCTAAGTAATATTTTCATGAAATTCGTGGCTAAAACCCGTGGCAAATTTGCCACAGATTTTAGCCACGAATTTTTAAAAAAAATGCCCACAAACATGTCTAAGTAATATTTTCATGAAATTCGTGGCTAAAATCCGTGGCAAATTTGCCACGGATTTTAGCCACGAATTTTTAAAAAAATGCCCACAAACATGTCTAAGTAATATTTTCATGAAATTCGTGGCTAAAATCCGTAGCAAATTTGCCACGGATTTTAGCCACGAATTTTTAAAAAAATGCCCACAAGCATGTCTAAGTAATATCTTCATGAAATTCGTGGCTAAAATCCGTGGCAAATTTGCCACGGATTTTAGCCACGAATTTTTTAAAAAAATGCCCACAAGCATGTCTAAGTAATATTTTCATGAAATTCGTGGCTAAAATCCGTGGCAAATTGCCACGGATTTTAGCCACGAATTTTAAAAAAATGAATTTTTGGCATTTTGATGAAATTTGGGGCTACATTTACGATTACGGCTCTCTCTTCTCTGTCTCTGTCTCTTTGTTTTTCGTTTTTCGTTTTCCCTCTCCTTCGTCTCCTTGGAGGGAAAAGCTTGCGAGCCAAAACAATTCCCCCAAATCCCTCTTCCAATTCCCCCACATCCCTCTCCTTCGTCTCGTTCGTTTTCAAATCTAGGCTAGGGCTTTTCCCGGCCTCGCTCCGCGATTCCACCTCCCCCATTCCTCGTCCGCTTCCAGTGCCGGCGGAGCCGAAATCGCTCTGGTTTCCTTCGCTCGAGACGACCTCCTTCGGCCGCTGCTCCACCCCCCCTTCGTCGCCCTCTTCCGGTGCCGGCGGAGCCGAAATCGCTCCGATTTCCTTCGTTCGGGACGACCTCCTCCGGTCGCTGCTCCACCTCCCCCATTCCTCGCCTGCTTCCGGTGCCGGCGGAGCCGAAATTGCTCCGGTTTCCTTCGCCCGGGAAGACCTCCTCCGGCCGCTGCTCCTTTCGGAGTCCGTCCTCGTTTCTTGCCTCTTCTTTCCCCTTGGTCTGGACCGCGATTCTGGGGCGAATTTCGAGCCAGCATCAGCTCAGGTTAGTTGGCTTGTACCTGCTGTCTGCGCATTTTCCCGCGTTGCGGTTGTCGTGATGGTTGGGATATGTGACCCGTCCGCAATTGGCTTCGACCTCGGTGATCATCGGTCGGCCTTGTTCTTCGTTTCTTGCTGTTTGAGCTCGATGTGGCGGTCGTGTCATCGAATTGGGGCTACTTTAGCTGGAAATGAGCAAGTCTGGAACATGTGCCACTTTCTTATTATCTTCATCCTTCTCTTCTAGCGTAAGCTGCTCGGTTAATTCTTTTATATTCACAGAACTCCAGCAATTTCAGCTTGGTGAGGTGCTTGATTCCTGGTGGCATAGTCTTCAACTATTTGCATCGCTGGATGATCAATTTCTCCAGCTTAGACATCGCTTCCTCCTCTATCTGTGCAAATGTCAGCTTCTCAAAATGATCAAGACCTAATATCTTGAGCTTTTGAAACCCTTTAGCCTTGAAGCATAGTGTTTGCCAATCATAAAGCTTTTGAACAGATTGTTGGTTCTGTCATCATCCGCATCTATGTAGTAAAGCTTTTGTACAGATTGAAGAGCTCCGATTTGTGCTGGGGTGCTGAAGCCATATTTGTAGTGCGTATAGGATAGTGACGAGTTTTTGGTCCAAGGATACTAAACATTTGTAGTCGAATGAAAATGTTTTGATAAAGCCTTTTAATAGCACTTCCATGCTTCACTGTTTGTTAATATTGTGGCAAGGATATTTTCCTGCTTATTTGGAGACCATTACTTGATCAATTCTGAGCTTAGCTTAGGGTTGTGGCAAGGAGTGTCATGTTCTATGGAGGTGGAATTTTGTAGGCTTACCTTGTTGAACAGATTCTGAGCTTAGCTTAGGGTTCATCCTTTGTCACTACAAGTTCATATGTACTACCAATTAAGCTATCAATTAGGGCCATATGAAAGATATCCTGTACCAATTGACACAAATGTTAGGTCAGTATGCCTTTTTCTTGCATAGAATTTTGTGTGAAAATTTTGACGAGGCTGCCATTGGGTAACTTTATATTATGCTGCATTCATTGTTTGCGAATCTTTTACAGCGGTGGAATGAACAGATTCCTCTGGCTAAGTGAGAGGAATGTACTGACCAATGTAATTCCTTCGCCTATCCATGGATTGGAGGATATTGTCAACAATCAAGTATAGTAAGTTTCTTATTTGCTTTTGTAATTCTTGGGCGACAGACTTGAATCATTCACAATCCCTGTTGCTTTACAGTAATGTTACTTATCTCAATCCTGCAAAGCACAAGCACATCCCAGACCACCTGCTAGTGTTGTCATTCCTCCAAAGGTACATGATGCTCTTACTGGTTCATATATGTTAATCTAAAAGCAAATATTTGTATTTTGTTCTCAATGTATACAATATAATTGGAAAAACGTTATGTGCATTATGTAGGGCTTTGTGTTTGATGTTACATGAGGCCTTTTCCCTTTCAACATTTCTATGAAATATCAATACGGTTGAAAAGCGCGGATTATTTCATACAGGAGAACCTTTTTCAAATTACTATTTAGGTCTCTTTATATTGGATGTCGTGACAAGAAAATGGATGGCTCACTTGTTCACTTTTATAGGTTTTAGGACCTTTGGATAACAAGCCATTCCCTGTGTTATGGCATGAAGATAACAGTGGTAGGCGCCAGAATGGAAGAGAAAGGTGAGAATGAATTCTAATGGTCTTGCTGTCTCGGTTGATGTCTCTGTCCGTCTGTTTTGTATTTCTGCTGTTGCATTGGTGGTTTGTATCAATTTAGAGGCTTGTGGTGCAATAGATTTTGCAGTTGAGAATGAACTTGAAACCAGGAACATTTGGAATAAAATTTTGGTTACTCCTGCAGGCTATTGAGTGTGTTTGTGGAATCTTTGGAGATCGTTTTCCCCTGTTGTTTCTGTTTAGAGACGCTTCTTTCTTTTCTCTCCCCATCTAAATGCAGTGCTTGTAATCTTGCAGGCCATCAGTACCTGGAGCAATGGTCGGTCCAATGCTGGGAGAAGCAGCTCATCGTCTTGTCAAGAGTACACTAAATATCAAGTTGAACAACAATCAATCCTCTGGCATCTTGGAACCACCACGCAATCGAAACTTTCCAGGATATTATGCAGTTAATAGACCAAGACCAGCTGCTCCCTCTGGGTACGAAAGGGGCTTCAGTGAAGATACCCACCAGTACCATGGGAATCACAACTACACTATTATTTGAAGTCAGTTTAGATTAGGGGAGGGATTGTTTATATTGAAACTCCATTATTGTAGATTCTCTTTGGAGCTGCAATGTTAAATATATATTTTAGCCATTAATTTTGCTGCTAATTAGATTTAAAATCGAAATCGTCCCTAAACAATATTCGTCGCAAACTTACTGACTAAAAAAAAAAACAATTCTTCGCAAATTAGCGATGAATTTTGCCACGAATAGATTTCGTCGCAGTTTAACGACGCAAAAAAAAAAAATTCTTGGCAAATTAGCAATGAATTTTGCCACGAAAATAGTTCGTGGCAAATTAGCAACGAATTTGGCCACGAATAATTAGCCACGAATTTTGCCACAAATTTTTTTTCGTCGCAATTTAGCCACGAAAATAGCCACGAATAATTGTCACGAATTTTTTTTCGTGGCTAAATTTCGCGACGCCGAATTAGCGACGAAATTTTTTTCGTCGTTAATTTCGTCACAAATTCTTTTAGCCACGAATTTTGCCAAATTTTTCGTGGCAAAATTCGTGGCTAAAAACTTGTTTTTTTGTAGTGAAATTAGTGACGAATTTTGCCACGAATATAGTTCGTGGAAAATTAGCCACGAATTTTGCCACGAATATAGTTCGTGGCAAATTAGCCACGAATTTTGCCACGAATAATTAACGACGAATTTTGCGACGAATTTTTTTTCGTCGCAAATTAGCCATGAATTTTGCCACGAATACTTAGCGACGAATTTTGCGACGAATTTTTTTTCGTCGCAAATTAGCCACGAAAATTGAAATTTTCCGTCGCAAAATTTTGCGACGGCCTATTAGCGACGAATTTTTTTCCGTCGCTAATTTCGTGGCAAATTCGTTTAGCGACGAATTTTGCCAAATTTTTCGTGGCAAAATTCGTCGCTAAAACCAACTTTTTTTGTAGTGTTAGATCACCGACCGTGACACGTGGGATGGCCAACAATGATCGGACCTTCACGTCAACAATTTTCGACCAATTTAAACCAAAAGAACTATATTGGCAAATCATGAAAACGTTTAAGATAACATTGGCCAAATTAGAAAGTTTACAACTAGACTGTCATCTAAACAATAGGTTTAGGATTGATTGAAGGGAAAAGTGTCAAAAAAGTCCTAAATCTTTTACATGGGTGCCAATTTAGTCCAAAACCTTTTTTTCGAGTTAATTCAGTCCTTCCAGCTAATTTTGGCTGAATATTGCTGACGTGGACACTAACCGGGTTATGTGACACCGTTGGCGCCGACGTGGACAATTTTTAATAATATTTTAATATTTTTCGAATTTTTTATTTTTTCTGATTTCTTTTCTTTTCTTTTTTCCTTTCTTCTTCTTCTTCCTTTTTCGGTGACCGGCCGACTATGGCCGGCCTTCGGCCATGCCGTACGAGCTGGCCTCGCTTGAGTGAGGGTCGCCATCGCTTGGCCAGGCGAGGGCGAGGGCGAGGCCTGGCCCGACGAGGGCCAACCCTGATAAGGGCTCCCCTCGCCAAATTTGGCAAGGTCGGCCCTCGCCCAGGCCAGGGCGGCCTCGCCGGGCGTCGCCTTCACCCGGGCAATGCTCGGCGAGGTCGCCCTGGCCTAGGCGAGGGTCAGCCTCGCCAGATCTGGCCTGGGCGAGGCCGACCCTCGCCGAGCCTGTTCAGCCATGTCGCTCATCGCACTACCTTCATCCAGTCCACGTTAACTAGTCTTTTCGTTGCACAGCTAGTCCAAGCTCTTGTTCGTTGCTTGTTGCGCTATCATCCCTCTCACCCGACGCCATTGCACAACCAACCCAATTGCCTTTGTCGTTGCTCGTCGTCCAGACCAGATCTGGCGAGGCCGACCCTCACGTAGGCTAGGGCGGCCTCGCCAGGCATCTCCTTTCCTCGGGCGACGCCTGACGAGGCTGCCCTGGCTTGGGCGAGGGTTGGCCTTGCCAGATCTGGCGAGGGGAGCCCTCGCCAAGCCAGGCCTCACCCTCGCCTGGCCGGCCGACGGCGACCCTCGCTCAAGCGTGGCCAGCCCGCACGGCCATCGTCGGCCGGTCATTGGAAAAGGAAGAAGAAGAAGAAAGGAAAAAAGAAAAAAATTAGAAAAAATAAATAAATAATTCGAAAAATTATTAAAATATTATGAAAAATTGTCCACGTCAGCGCCGACAGTGCCACATAAGCCAGTCGGCGTCCACGTCAGCAATATCTGACCAAAATTAGTCGGAATGGCTAAATTGGCATTATATTAAAAGGTTTAGGACTGAATTGGCACCAAAAAAAAGTTTATAACTAAATTGACATCAATATAAGAGGTTTAAGGCTTTTTTGACACTTTTCCCATTTATTAGATAATTTTTTCATTAAATATGGAAATAAAATCTAATTAATGCATCTAAAATATAATGCAATATTAGGAGAATGAATCTATATGTGAGTATGCAAAGATTCCTAAATGCACTCCCACCGGATCTTAGAATTCCTTCGAGGACTGCCCACTGGGAAACAACTAAAGCTGACATAAAGATGGAAATTGAAGCGAAACTAATCTAAACATGATTTAAACATGCAAACTATATAAACATTATGCGAAATCAACATGGATGGATCACATTCACAATATACATCTATACTGGTCATTACTCATGAATGCCGAAGATAACTACTAATTTAAAAGTCAAATTTTTTCTTTTCCCGCACTGGTTCAGACGAAGTTCAGTTGGCGTGCAACTTGGACCACATCACATATATTTAGCAATATGAATTTCCTTAAGAGTAAAGAGTGCTAACAAAAACTCACCTGATGCAAACAAACAATGAAGTTGTCAATCTAACTAGAATTTGCAATAAAATTCAATGAATGGCGACCGGTCTTAATCAAATCCTAGAGGGGCAAGTAGCTTAGGGATTAAATCACATCTACTCAAACATGATAGCAATACCGATCACATTTCAGAATCAAGGCTACAAACCTACACGAAGAGGAATCATCATTCAAGAACAAAGACCAAGAGATGGACTCACGCAAACACGCATAAAAAAGTATGGACAATCCATTGCACATTCGGTAAACATGTTATTGAGCCATGATAGGGTCACAACATGATAAAAAGTATATGTAGGAGTTGTTGGTTGTTACCTTGTGAACTCCTCAGACAGCTATGGACAACAAAAGACCCCCCAATTGCACGCGGTTTTCCTTCCTCTCCACGGCCCACTTTATGGGTGTGTACATATTGCTCTCCAGCTCATAATTTGTCTTCTCCTGCCGAGTGTTATCTATCCACTTTAACCGAGAATTGTGTTGAGAATATGTATCCAAATCTGGACGTGTGTTGCCATCTATGGCCGAAAACTCTTGCATTTATGCTAAGAAATTATGCTCTTATTAGCCGCGAATCTCACTTTCCCTTTTTTGAGAATATGTGAATATATGGCCGAATTGTATCCCTGATTGATTATCCTAATTAAGTGCGATGGTCAATGACTAGGTTTCCGATGACATAGGGTGTAACATTATATGCCGTTGCCTCATAGTATTTTAGAAGGATTCTTGAAAAAATACACGAAGTTTGAATTGCAAATAATCACATCAAGTGACATGTTTTTATATTCTTTTCTTTCTCAAGAATAGGGATATATCCTTATTTTCAATAAATAACTCTTTTGTTTTTCGAATTCACGACAATATTGGAGCTTATTCTAGCTGTAATTAGCACGAGCACGACATTGCATAGTGATGTCTTGTGGTTGATTCTTACCAATGCTATCTTACAAATTCTAGAAATAGCTATGTGCATCAATTAAAGTAAAGTTCAAAACTTAATATTTTTACTTATTGCGCAATACCCTTACAGAAAAATGATTAAGTCGAGCTGAAATTGATTATCTCATTCACATTTTGGATGAAATTGTGAAATCGATACTCATTGGTCCTTTCATTTGGATGGAATGGCTCTACAATGGAGGGGCCTCGTTCAATGGTAGGTCTTAGGATGGCTATCCTCTTACTTGTTAAAGGAAGGGATAATAACATAAATGGTTAATGAATTTTGACCCAATGTGCAATGTGATATATGAACTTTTAATTTGTTTTATGAGATCTTTAGACTCTTGGTACATGTTCAATTTAGGGACTAAATTAAATATATACTAAGAGTTCAGAGACTACATTGAACAAATTAAAAGTACATAGACCACATTACATATTGAGTTAAAGTTTAAAAACCATATTGAATAAATTAAAAATTCAGATATCATATTATACATTGATCTAAAGTTAATGGATCATTTGTGTCATTTTTTCTTTAAAAAATAATGTTATACTTTTGAGAGACATTCGCAACTACTCGTGGAGAGTGACATATCCTAATTTAATGTACGTTGACCAGTAGAGATTGACTGCTGGCAATCCAGTGTCAAAACATGTCGTTGTCAGTCCTCTGTCATGAAAAGGACAAGTGTCGGATCTTATTTTCAAAATTACGTTCTCTTGTCATTGTCCTAAGCATAAGTATAATAACAATGAAAATGTATGGTTTGGGGCATAATGAATGTCAGCAGGTCCAATAGGAGAAATCCTTTTAGAACTTAATTAGTCTTTGCACGTCACAGTTCATTGCGCAATTATGCTAAACTTAGGATATTTATTTGTAGACTGAGGTGAAATCTAAAACTATCATAAATGAGTCTTGAGTGAGCCATATGCACAATTAGTTGGTTATCGAAACTGAATTGAAACACATGCAAACGATCAAATGTAGCTTCATCGAGAAATTATTTTTGATTTGGTGTTTGTCTAACATATCCTTAATTGATTTATCAAACTTATCAGTCTTTTCTGATATCTTTCCGGCCATTCTTCAAGCTGGCCTGTCGATTAGTACTATAGAAAAAAAATTAAAAGGAAAGTGCAAGAAGTAAATGGAATAGCCATCTTTATGGTTGATTGTGACTATGAACTTTGCCAGACGATGGAAATGAGATTCTAGGATGTAAATTTAACAGTTTGCTAGACCATGTCAATCACTTGTCAAGAAGCAATGGTACCATAATAGGTCTAACGAGAAAACCCAAGTTCCCACACACTTTATGCACTGTAACT